AATTCTATCCCTCCCCCAACCCACTCTACCTAGTAGTTCTATGGTTCCTGAACCAGCAGCATCCACATTACTTGGGAACTAGGGCTGGGGGTGTGGCTCAAATGGTAGAGGACTTGCCTAGCAAGCACGAGTCCCTGAGTTCAAACCCCAGTACTGCCAAAAAGAAAAAAAAGTTTATGTTGTCCACATCATCTTGGAACTTGGTAGGGGCCATAAATCTGTGTTTTAACCAGCTAACCTTCCACATAATTTTAATGCACACTAAAGTTTGAGAACCACTTACTCTAAGGTATATTTCTGTGTGCATTGCTGAGCTGTGGGATGTGGCCATGTTCAAATTTATTGGATACTACCAAACTTCTTCCAAACTGGTTATACTTGTATATAGTCACCTAGCAGTATATGAGAGTTCCTATTGTTCTATATCCTTGCTAACACTCCCAAATATACAACTTAAATTTTTTTGTCAATCTGATGGATGTGAAACAGCTAGATTTTAATTTACATTTCTCAGTTACTAATGATGTTGAACATTTCATGCATTCATAGGTTATTTGAGTTTCATGTTCTGTGATATGCTATTTTGAATCCTTTGCCTATTGAAAGAAATACACTTATATAAATGAATACAATGTGATGAAATAACTGAAAAACAAACCCAGAATTCCCAAGAAGAAATACAGGGGACAAAAAGAAAGTCAGGGGAAGAATCCCAGAGGAGATAATGATCAAACAGTCCCTAAAGAACAGGAATTTGTCAGATAGACTGAGATAAGGCCATCTGTATAGTAGGAACACCACTTACTGATCAGGGAAAGCAAGTAGTTTGATGCGATGGACTAGTAGGATGTGTGGAGGAAAAGAGACACATAGGATAGGAAAAAGGTAGAAAGCAACTAGATGTATATATTTTATACATTTGTTTAATCTTTTTTGTTTTTGGTGGGACTGAGATTTAAACTCAGGTCTTTGTGCCTGCAAAGCAGGTGCTCTACCACTTGAGCCAGTCCTCCAGTCCATTTTGCTCTGAATATTTTGGAGATTGGGTCTCACAAACTATTTGCCTCAAACTGCGGCCTTCCCAATCTCAGCCTCCCAAGTAGCTAGAATTACAGGCATGAGCCACTGGTGGCTGGCTTGTTTAATCTTTTGCTGATTGTAGGGCATTTAAGTTACAACCAGTTTGGCTGTTTTTTTCCCTTTTCTATTATAAGCAAAGCTAGCTGTTAGGGCTGGCGGAGTGGCTCAAGTGGTAGAGTAACAGCCTAGCAAGTGTGAGGCCCTGAGTTCAAACCTCAGTACCACCAAAAAATGTATTAAATCATAAACAAAGCTATTAATAAACATCTTAGTATGTACATAGCTGCTTTTTTTCCTCCTTTATGTTATTTTCTTAAAATAATACATTTATCTGAAATTACTAGATTAAAGGAAGGGAGGTATGATTGTTTTCATAATTTCTTATATGTTTCAAGGTTACCCTCCATTAATCACTACAGAAATGCAAATCAAAACCACAATGAGATACCACATCACATTGGTATGTAGGGTGATACTATTGGGAGGTAGTAAAACCTTTTGGAGGTGGTGCCTATTGAGAGGGGCTTAGGTCATTGGGAGGTAAGCCCTGTCCTCTTCCTCGCTCTCTTTTGCTTTGTCACCATGAGGTGAGCAGTTTGCTCCTTCATTGCCATCCAGCATGCCCACCAGAAGCCCAAAGCAATGGGTCTGCATAATCTTGGACTGGAACCTCCAAGACTATGAGCCAAAATGAACTTTTTCTAAGTTAATTATCTCAGGTATTTTCTTACAGTGATAAAAAGTGAATTAACATGGATGGTTATAATAAAAAAGACAGGTAATAACAAATGTTGGTGAGGATGTAGAAAATTGGAACCCTCATACACTGCTGGTAAGAATGTAAAATGGCACAGCTTCTTTGGAAAAGGTTGGCATTTCCCCTAGGTTAAATATAAAGTTACCATATGATCAAACAATTCTACTTTTAGATATATACCCAAGAGAAATAAGAACATATGTCCACAGAAAATCTTATACATGAGTATTTATAGGAGCATTATTCATAATAGTGAAATGGTAGAAACACCCCAAGTATTCATCAAGAGATAAATAAATGAACAAAAGTGGTATACCTACACAGTGGATATTAGACGACCATAAAAAGAAATGAGGTAGTGACACATGCTATAACTTGGATAAACCTTGGAAGCATCATGCTAAGTAAAAGAAGCCATTCACAAAAGACCACAATATTATGTTTTGACTTACATGAAATATCCAGAATGGACAACTCTATAGAAATGGAAAGTAGATTAGTGGTTACCAGGGGCTAAGTGGAGGAGTGGAGAGGAACTGCTAATAGGGTTTCTTTGGGGGATTAAAATGTTTTGAGATTAGACTGTGGTGATGGTTATATATTCATGTGGATATACTGAACTGTACATTTTAAATGGGTTCATTTTATGTCATGTGAATTATATCTCAATAAATTGTTTTATTTAAATAATGAAATAGTTCTTTTTACCTTCCAGAAAATTTTGCTTTTTCATCATCATCAGCAGTATCTTCTGTTTACAGCAGCCACTCCCATTTTAACTAATATCTGTATGATGACAGTTGTACTTTTTGTATCAATGGAAAAACTACATAGTAATAAGAAAGCTTTTTCCAGCATTTTATATTTTAATAATCACTATAGTATCTTCAGAAGTTTATAATATAGAAGCATAAATAATATATTAAACATATTCATTCTGTAGTCTATGCATGATGGTTGTATGATTATTCATAGACCCATGGCAACAATTTTGAAAAGCCACCAGGGGTTTGGAACCAGTAAATTGGAGACTATTTAATTATAGTATCAGAACTGAGAAGGACTATTAAGATGTAAATAACAGAAGATTATACCCTAATTATATATTTTAAAAATTCAGTTCCTGAAGGTATCAGTTTCTTTTCAAGACTGAAGAATACTTGAAAAGTCAAGTTTAGAAGTATCTTTTAAATGTTAATTGGTTTAGTGGTATTACTCAGTGGTAGAGCATATGCTTTGCATGCATGAGGCCCTGGGTTCAGTTCCCATAAAAAATATATGTGATATTATTTGTTTTAGTAAAAAATCGGAAACAAACTAAATGTCTGATACTGTTTGTAACTTTTGTAAAGTCTGATGGAAAGTTAGGCAGCAATTGAGTATTACAATTAGGAATTATAAGTTTTGGTGGTTCTGGGGTTTGAGCTCAAAGCCTACACCTTGAGCTATTCTACCAGTCCTTTTTTATGAAGGCATTTTTCAAGATAAGGTCTCACAAATTATTTGCCTGGGCTAGCTTCGAACCCCAGTCCTCCTGATCTCTGCCTCCTGAGTAGCTAGGATTACAGTTGTGAGCCCCTAGTGCCTGACAGGAATTATAATTCTTTTTTTTTCCATTCATCTTTTTATTATCCATGAAGATAGAAAACTGGCTAAAAGTCTGTAAGTTCTCAAATATGAGTTAGGGATAGGATTCAATGGCAAAACATTTGCCTAGCATGCTTGAGACCCTGGGCTTAATCCTCAGCACCAGAAAAAAAAAAATCTTAGGAATTATAGTTCTTATAATCAAGCAATTTAAAAAATAGGATATACCATCATGTTTTCCTAAACATTTTGACACTGATGACATGAAATATTGATGTATGTGGCAAAAGATGGGAGAGTAGTAATGACTGTATTGAGATAGAGTAATTCTGGGCAATTTTTTCCTCTTTTTGGCATACTTACTTAGCAATTGGCTGTGTGCCAGACACTACAAAGTTTTTTTATGATTTAATTCAGGAGTTACCAAACTATAGTGCATTTGGCCTGTCAGGTCTATCTTTCTATGGCCCTTGAGCTAAAATGATTTAAAATTTTTATTTTTAGGCTAATTTTTGAAAATATAATATATTTAATCCAATGTACCCACAACAATTATTTTAACATGAAATCAATCTTAAAAATATATTCATAGAAGAATATTTTACATTCTTTTTTGGTACCAAACTTTAAAAATCTTACGTGTTTTTTCATACTTAGATCACATCTCAAAGTGGTCTAATCATGTTTTTACATTTTTTTTTGACAGTACTGGGGTTTTAACTAGGATTTTACCCTTATTAGGCAGGCACTTTACACTTCAGCCACTCCTCTTGCCCTCTTTGCTTTAGGTATTTTTCCTTTTTTTTTGTGGTACTGGGGTTTGAACTTAGGGCCTACACCTTGAGTCACTCTACCAGCCCTTTTTTGTGCTGGATTTTTTCAAGATAGGGTCTCATGAACTATTTGCTTAGGCTAGCCTTCAACTGAGATCCTCCTATCTCTGACCCATGAGTAGCTAGGATTACAGGCGTGAGCCACCAGCACCAGCTGCTTTAGGTATTTTTCAATTAGAGCCTTATTTATACACAGACTGACATGAACTGTGATCCTCTGGTCTGTTTATATTTCCCACCTAGTGGGATGACAGGAAAATACCACCACATCCAGCTTTTATTGTTTGAGGCGGGGTTTTCCCTGACTTTTTGCCTAGCTGGACTCAAACTGTAATCCTCCTGGTCTCCACCTCCCAAGTAGCTAGTATTATTACAGGCTGAGTCACCCCACCTTGCTAGACAGTTGATCTGCCACTTAAACCATACCTCTAGCCCTTTACATTTTAAGGGAGTTATTTTTTAAACAAAACAGAAGGGACAGATTTGACAAAAACCTTATATGGCCTGGAAAACCTAAAATAGTTACCATGTGGCCCTGTACAGAAAGTATTTTCTGATCTCTGATTTAATTCATTTTATCCTGATAACATTTTAGTAAGATAGATGCAATTATTAACATCCCCAGTTTACAGATTGGGAGACAGAGGCACAGAGGAAGTTAAGTTACGTTCTTTGGCTGTCATTCACCATAGTTTAGAGCACATTGTACGTTCTTTCTATAAATTTGCTAATATTGTGTTTCTTTACAGAATAAAAAGTGGATAGTGGTGCACGTGCCAAAGGATGGCCCGGTCACGATCTAGATCTCCTAGGTGGAAGCACAGGTGAGCAGTTCTTAGCTTAGCAGAGGAGTAAACTAGGATTTGGGATGTGCTATGACTTTGAACTTCACCATTTCTGGTAAAAATTCTCTTATAATAAGCTCATGGTATTTGGTTATTCACTGTTAAGTGCTTTATCATGCTAAAGGTAGTATTTCTAGATTCCAGGAGCTGATGCTTTACTTTTTCATAGCTGGCAGCTAAAAATAATTTATGATAAAAAGAAACACAGTGACCCTAGCAAGGGGGAGTAGAAACATCTTTGAGAGTTTTTTTTTTAGTACGAGGTTTAGAACTCGTATTTCATTTTGTTTTTTCATAATATACTTAAAGAATTTAAGAGAGAAAATGAGTTTTGTATTTCTTCTTCATTGCAGAATAATAGCTTTGAGTAGCTCAATTGTAGTTCAACTCTCCATTTTTTTCTGGTAGGTACTATCGATAGTATATATGATTAGATTGGAACAGTCCAACCACTTTATCATACATGTGCTACAGCCAGGTTCTGGAGCTACAAAGGGAAATATACCATCTTCTGTGGTCTCAGCAAGCACACGGATTAGCTGGGGAGATTGACCCAATAGCCAACTATGATACATGCTTTGGGATAAAGCATTCTTGGGAGGGAATAATTCTGCTTTGTGGAGAGGAAAAGAGGATACTAAGAAAGTCTTCAAAGAAGAAATGAAAATTTTCACTGCACATTTAAGAAATTAGAATTTCTAAAGTCAGAAAGAGTGAAGAAAGTGTTCTGGTTACAGTGGAGAAGAGAACAGGAACAAAGCTACAGAGGTGTAAATGCCACTAGTATCTTTTAGGACTGAAAAAAAAAAGACCGTAATTATATACACAAAAGGCAGAACAAGATTTTCTTGTTAATATAACTTGGCCACTGTGCTTATTCATTCCGATAGTGCAGTGGCTAATCAATAAGTTCTTCAGTCATTTTCATTTTATAATTCACAAGACCAAGTTGTAATGGAGAAGGAGCTTCAGAAAGAAAAGGGAATATAAACAAGCAAATGATTTTAACATTGACGGTATCTCAGAAGCCATTTTGTTTCATTCTTTGGTATTAGGCTCTGGTGAAGGGCACAAGGGACCCTGTCAAGCTTTAGGGTCTGATTTCTAGATTCCTTCTCAGGTTTCTTTGTCAAGAACTATAAAAGGTCTGATATTTTACCTTGCTTGCTAGCTAACACATTAGCCTGCTACAAGGCATTCCTAGGTCAGAGACAAAGGCCTTCATTTACCATAATATAGCACTAGAGCTTCATATTCCTGTATTCTCCCTGTTCTCTAGGTCCCCAGAGGGTCATCATTGCTCAGTGACTGGTCTGGCCGGGTGGATGATACAAAGCAGTGGGGTTATGTTATGACACAACTGAGGAACCTGAGTTCCCCATGAAGAGTTGCACCTTTACATTGGAGGAGACATTATCTTATTATCCTTTGGCAGCAAACAAATCAGTCCTCTATCCTTGAGGAGATAGAGGCTGTTTGCCTTGGAACAAAAGCTGTCAGTGCCTCCATTCACAAGACATGTAGAACTCAAGAGGCTGTGGAGAATTGTCTCCCAACAGACTCCTTCCATCTTTTTCGTCTCTTTAGGAGAACTGAAATGATAGCAACCATTCCAGAAACTTCCTCTAGAAGAAATGGTTGCTATACAATAAAACTTATTCTATAAAATATAATATCAAAAGAGTTTTTAATGTGAGATAAGGATTAAAGTTAGACCTCAAATATTTCATCCAGTCTGGGAGACCTTTGCCTCTAATTGTCAGCTTTTTTCCTTAGTAGTGAAAGAGATGAATTGTTCCAGGAAGTCCTCAGAGGCTCTAGTTGCTTCTTTTTCTGTGATAAGGTGTAGCCAGCTGGATGGCAGAATTTCTTTTTTATTTTTTGGGTTGTTTTTGTGGTACTGGAGTTTGAACTCAGGGCTTCACACTTGCTCCACCAGTACTCCACCACTTGAGCCACTCCACCAGCCCTCTTTTTTATTTTTTATTAGTGTAAATTAATTGTAGAAAGGGGTTTCATTGTGATATTCCATACATGCATACAATGTACTTTGTGGATGACAGAGTTTCTGCTTCAGCTAAATAATGCTTACTAGTATGTCTAGCTTGGTGATTCCAAGAGGCAGTATTGCCAGGTATAGAATATATGTCCCAGTAGGTATCTGAGGAAGATAGATCTGTCTCCTTTCTTGTATGGAAAACACAGATTTGCTACTAACTCCATGGCAACTTCTGAGAGGGGGTGATAAAAGAAGAACTGCAAGGATAGCTTCCTTATTGATTAGAAGACATTAACCCTCAGGGAAGAGACTGAGGAATTGGACTAGTCAGATGTGAGAAAGGTCCTCAGGTGTAAAACTAAACTTTATTGTGTTCTAGATAGTGGCACTCCTCTCTTTTATCTTTAAAGTCAGGCAACCCAGAATAGTTTCCCTTGATATAGGAGCCTTTCTCCACAGTAGGAATACAAGGTTCCATGTTGGCAGTGCTAACGTACCACCAGAGAAGGTAGACAGAGAAGGCATGTGCTGTCACTAGAGAGCTTTACGGCTGCATTAAAGCATAGTTTCACCAAAGTTACAAGCTCTATTTAAACAACACATCATTCAGTTGATATGCAAGATAGGAGATATGGGAAAGAAAAACAACTTACCTGTGCTAGAAGTATTTATGGAGGAACTGGGCATAAGATTCAAGTCTTATAACTTTCTCCCCTCCCCCTGCTACCTATTACATATATGTTTATTATTCCTTGATACAGCCTTAGGGAAAAGAATAGACAGTCAATTGGAGAAACTATGGAAGTAGTCTTGGGTCTGATTTACATTGTAGCATCACTGAATCTTAGAATCTAATTTAATTTCAGAGGTCATATTCAGTTTTCCTGACATTCTTCTACATGCTTATTTGTGTTAATCTCCTTCTGCTTGTTTCTTTTTGTTGTTGTTGTTTTGTTTTTTGGGTTTTTTAAAATTGTTTTTTTTGTTTGTTTTGTTTCTCTTCTTTTTTTTCGGTTTATTTTTTTCTCTTTTTTTTCTTTTTTTTTTTTTGTGCTTGTTTCTTACTTGGCTATTGAGCCTGATGTAAGCTTTTGTTCATTGGCCCATTGAAGTTACTGCATACCCTTTTGCCAGAACTTTGCTATCAGTAGTCTTCCTGAATAGATCCTACTGTATACCTAAGTTAGTTCTCCTCTTACAGGACAGGTATATTCTGTTCAATTTGTTATGCATATGGAATACATCCATTGAAAAGGAAAGAGTATGATTGTTGCATAGGACAATACCAAAATCAGACCCCAAATGTACAATTTGAAATCCACATATAGCAACTTGATTAATTTAGTTTGAGTGGGAGAAACAGTGAGATTCTACGAAATGCAAATGTTCTACATAGGTCATATTAAGACAAACTTAGTGTATTGTTTTAAAATGGACTAAATTTTTCCATGTTTGTTTACATAGGTCTTTATCACCACTACCTAGAAATTTTGAATACTACAATCAAAGAAATTCTCATGAGCATTATGACTGTGACTATAGAAAAGATCTGAAAAGACCCATTGCTTGGAGAATGGACAATGAGAAACATGAACAGAGTAAACCAAGGATTCTCCCTCGTGGAAATCTGTATTATCGATCTTATGAACATAGATCACCTTCCCCAAACATAAGAAACTCTTTAGAAAATTTTTACACATATAAGCCTCACCGAGTATATTCACCTGGAAGAGGGGATGGTAACAGAAGATCTCAGTACATGCCCACATACTCAGAGAGTGTGCCCTACATAGATCATGAGAGAAATTGTTATCCCCACAAAATGCAAGGAGGGTATGTTCCTGATGATCACAGAGTTAGGGGAAGTGGGCGAGGAGGGAAACCACCTGAGAGGTCAGTAGCAGATTCCTTCAGATTTGAAGAAAAGTGGCATGAAGATGAGTTGAGACACCAGAGGATACAAGAAGAAAGATATTCTCAGTCACCTAGAAGAGGCTCAGAAGACTTTGACACAAGGAGCTCTTTTCAGAAGAGGTATAGGAAAACATTAAACCTGGGTAATTTGGTATAAAGCCTCAAGTGAAAAAGTCTGTTTACTTTATGGTTGAAGATACCACCTTGAAAAGCTTTTGTCTCAAAAAATTAAAAGCATTTTAATTTAGTTATGGTCTACTGGTAGTAGTGAAATATTTCTTTTTAGAATAAATCATGTTGATGGCTAGAATATTTTAAAAAGATGGCATTTTTTTTCTTTAGCTACCTTGTGGCTCTATGAATTGTCTTGAGGGATTGTAGGTTATCTTGCCACTGCACTCTAAATTTAAAGCCATGCTGTGCAACATTCTACACATATAAATTCTCACTTTCTTCTCTGTAGCAAGTGTAAACTGCTTTATGTCAACACAGGTATCCTGAGGAGCGTGATTTCAGAAAATATGGACACACATCAAAAAGACCTAACGATGTGGTGAGGTATGAAAACAGAGAGCCTGCCAGGATCCCAAAATGGAAGCCCGAGCATTCTCTTCCACCTTACCAAGAGAAGACAGATCAGTGGAACTTTGGACTTCAAACTCACCGATATGCTGAGAGGGAATACCCAGAGACCAGTTCAGCAACCAAAGTATCCTTCGATTATCGCCACAGACATCATAAGCTTTCAGATAGTGATCAAGACTTTTCTGATGGAAGAATCCAGAAGTACTCAAAAGAAGAAGATAGAAAATACAGTTCTCAAAAAGGCTCTGTAAATAGAGAGTCTGACTGTTTTAATGCTGGAAGAGGGAGAGAAACTGAAGATGAACAAGTCAAAGAACCTTTTAAGCCATCTAAGAAAGACTATGATGCTTATGCTAATTTAAATAAAAATGAATTTGATTTGAAGCCCTATAATGACAAACAGAAGAAAAACATAAAGAAAGGAGAGGATTGCAGAAAAGAGAGCAACTTTGCTGGTAACCAACTTGGTACAAGTCAAAAACCTTCTGATGTGAAACCCTCATTTGTTGATCTTAAGAAGAAATTGCTTACAATTAAAATAGATATGAAGGAAACAGACACATTCAGGTACTTGTTTTTTTCTTTATGATGGTTAATAATGTTTCTGCCACCTTTATTTTAACTTTGGAAATGGAATTTGTAGTGTTATTTATAGAGTCCATTGAGGGGTGGAAGAATCACCTGGATTTTCCCCAAAATACTAGTAATGAGGATGAATCCTGAAATTAGTATAACTTCTTGTCTGCTTGTTTCCACATGGTATATCAAGATGCTTCTTTAGTGCAGGACATTCAATGGAGTTGTTTCTCTTCAGGAACTCATCTGTTTTTATGCTGTTAGTTTTTCCTTATTCAGGGAACATCTGTGTGGAGTTCAAGACCTATTTGCAGTTTCTCAGAGTCTGTGTCCCCTGTTGCCTGACATTCATAGGGTTTTTGAGCAGGTCCTAATTTGGTAGAAGATTAAACTGAGACCCTGGAGATGAAGTAGCTTGTCCATGTCAGTGTGATTGGGGCTCAAATCATGTGTCCCCTTGTGACTCCAGGAGGCAGGTGACTTATGATGGCTCCCTGTTGCTATCTCAAAATGACTGGACTTAACTGAATACATTCTTCCAGGTAGAGGAAATTAGGCTATATTCTGGCAAGACACTTATTCATAATACATTTGCTTTAGTTCTTTTTTTTTTTTTTTGGTGGTATTCGGGCTTGAACTCAGGGCCTTCGCCTTGAGCCACTCCACCAGCCCTATTTTTGTGAAGCATTTTTCCGAGATAGTGTCTTGTGAACTTTTCTTTTTGGCCCGGGCTGGCTTCGAACTGCGATCCTCCTGATCTCTGCCTCCTGAGTAGCTAGGATTATAGGCATGAGCCACTGGTGCCCAGCTTTGCTTTAGCTCTTAATTCTTTTTTTTTTTTAAACAGACTACTGTTGCAATAGGTTATAGTCTCAGCAAGCTCCCATACTTTGTTACATTATGAATATTACCTCCCATTTTGGATTCTGTAAATAATGAGGTGCTGCACTTGGATATGACAGCTAATTCTTTTCATTACCTTAATACACTACTCGTATGTGACTGAAAATGTGATAGGCCATGTTTATTTAGTGCACTCATATTTACACTTGGCTTTTAGTTGTATTTGAATCAAAACCAAGAAAACAAACTCTAAAGGGTAGAATGGGAGTTGAGGAGGGAGATTAACCTGAAGTCCTTTTTTTTTTGAAACAAAATATTTTTTGTTCCTTTTCTTAAAGTTAGGCATAGCAGTCTTCTCTCTAATACTTTCCTTACATTCATTCCACTTGCAGAAAATATTTTGAAATATACATATGTATATTTATATGTGCTTAAGAAGAATTAATAAGTTGTAACACTTTTAAATTAAGTTAGAAATAACAATTTTGAAGGGCTTTATTTTAGTAGATCCCATTCAGATACTTTACAGTTAATTTGAAAATCTGATATGAACAACGGAAGTTTGATCTTTATATGTTACAAAAATGAGCTTTCCAAAATTGAAGTTGCTGTACTTTTATTTTGAATTTATAAATTGTAATTTTGTGAAATCTCATGATCTATCAGTGAGGTTTGGCAGCATACATTTGAATACTTGAGCAGGGCCCATAGGATGGCTTGTATAATAAAGATCCCTGACTGCAAGTCCTCTCTACTCAAAGACCTAAAGACTAAATAACTAAATGAATATATGCATCTTTTCAGTATGATAATCACAGTCAACAAAACTTTCTCTCCAATTATAATTATTGATAAATAAGTTTTAGAAGAGTTTTGTGTATTGGATGTAATTATGTATAGACTGATAAAGAATCCATAAAACAAAGGTAAATTAATGCCCTCAATAGAATTATGTTTTCAACTATTAACCTTAAATTAGATTTTTTTCTTTGCTAAAAAATATTAAAATAATCATAGAGTACAGAAAGAAGTTTATTTGTTGGTTAAAATTTAGAGTTTATCCCCTTTTTTGATAGCACTGGGGTTTGACCTCAGGGCCTCATGCTTGTGAGGCAGGTGTTCTTACCACCGCTTGAGCCACTCCACCTGCCCCCCATCCCCCTTTTTCTGTTGGGTTTTTTGAGATAGGATCAAACTATTTGCCTGGGCTGGCTTAAAACCATGATCCTCCTGATCGCTGCCTTCTAAGTAGCTAGGATTACAGGTGTGAGCCACCAGTGCCTGGCTTATCTACTTTTATTTATTTTTTTGAAAGACTAAGATGGTTAGTTTTATGTATTTGTTTGCTTAGCTTTGGTCAAGTATTGATATTTGTTCTTCTACTTTTCAGTATGGTTGAAAACATAAGGCTATCACCCATTGATTTTTTTTCTAGATTCTTCTTTGTATCTAGAATAGCAGTAGATAGACACTTGAATGTTCGCTGCATAGGTAGTATTTCTGTTAACAAGGACTATCTTCTACTGATTCACTCTGTCAGAAACTTCATTATCAGAGGTACAAGTTACATTTAAGTCATAATTGTGCATATTTCAGAGTGTGAGTTGGAGAATCACAATTTGAAAACTTTCTACTAAGGTTGTTAAGTACCCAAAACATGAATTGTTGTATACATTTATCTGGAAGTCTTGAAGTACATGAGGGGAGTTACTGGTTTAATGTTGGGCTGAGTAGGTGAAAGACTGATCCTAAACTAAGCAGGAAGAGGAATGAAGGAGGAGGTCTGGGAAAGGAGGTAGTACTAGTTTTAGGAGCAGAATAAGTTGGTGCTGATGGACTCAAGTCTCCTTTGATTTCCTGAGATGCAGAAACAAGACACCTGGGATGGGAAAGATTGGCAATCAGAGTTGATGGTGGACTGAGTACATCAGCCATATTTGTATCTAGTCCTTTATTTCCCATTGAAGAGATACAAAGAGAACATCCCTACCTGTATAAGGTCTTTCTCCATTCTGAAAGGAGATGAGGTGGGTGATGGGCTCTAGAGGACAACAAAGTCCTGACACTCTGAGGAACTGGATGCTGCAAGGTAGGGAACAATGTGGAAAACAATAGCTAAGATTAAAGGAAGTTAACCCAATTACCTCAGGGTCACCTATGAAGTAGACTAAGCTGTAGATAGGGATATTTTTGATGCCAAAACCTGCTACCTTGCTGTTACGTAGCATTAAAAAAAGTAAAGCTTTTCCATTCCTAATATTTCTCATGTACATTTTTTTTCGGTGGTACTGGGGTCTGATCTCAGGGTTTCAAGCATGCTAGCCAAGTGCTCTACCACTTGAGCCATGCCCCCAGCCCTTTTTACTTTGGTTATATTTGAGGTAGGGTGTTACATACCCAGGCCAACCTGGACTTTGATCCTTCTATTTACATTTCCCATGTAGCTGGGATGGTAGGTAAGTCCCCCCCATATCCAGCTTTTATTAGTTGAGATGGGACCTCACTAACTTTTTGCCTGGGGTTGCCATTGAACTCCTATCCTCCCAATCTCTGCCTCCCAAGTAGTTAGGACTGTAGTTTTGAGCCACTGTACACAGCTTGTGTCTATGTTTTGGCTGTGACCGGCCATGTAAGGTCAGGTGTGGATTTTCTGTTTGTGACATCATTTTGGTACTCAAAACATTTCGAATTTTGGAGCATTGTGGATTTTGGATTTTCTGATTAGTGATGCTGAACCTGTATTAGCTAGTAGGAGAGGCTGGAGAGCTTAGTTTTGGCTGCTAGAGGATTGCCATCTCTGAGGTGGATTAGATGGGTATTGGGGCGGGCAAGGCCCCAGTTAAAAAGGTAATAAGTTGCTAAATTAGGGGAATAGTAACCCTTTTCTCTCAACCCCAAAGTTTCTGAATTTATTCTTAGGAAGACAGAAGCAAATAATTGGGAAAGTGCTTTATGGATTGTAAGGTACTATACAAAATGTTAGTTACTAGTAGGAAGAAACAGAAAGGAAAACTTTAGGTGGGCACAGTGGTGTGCACCTATAGTCCTAGCTACTCAGGAGGCTGAGATAAGAGGATCATGTGAGCCTAGGAGTTCAAGACAGCATAGTAAGACTTCATCCAAAAAAAATTAAAGAAAAACTATATGTGCCATATAGCTTTTGTTATAAGCTTCCCAAGGACAGGGGAACCTGTTGGTTTGGGGTTTTGTCGTTGGATTTTTTTTGTTGTTGTTTTGCCATGCATTGTTTTATTTTTTGAGGAGTATTAAGTAAGTACAATAGCAAATTAAGTTTTGATGTTACTTTTTATGTTTTCTTAGTTATTACGTCCAACACTAAGGGAGAACATCAGAAAAAAAAATAGGGAAAGTGAGGAGAGGGAACAAAGGGACTTGGAAGATTTAATGGTACCATTATTAGAAATAGTATTATAATTCAGGGTTTTTGTCTGTATTTTAATTTTAAAAACTGCTTAAAATGAATTTCAAATGAGAACGTTTGGTGTTTTTCAGCTTAACTATTTGCTTTGGGGGGTACTTCTTGAAGTTATTAACTTATTAATCCATGTCGTAAGAAATAATGAAAAGCAAAAATGTAAAACAAGAGGATTAGATTTACAAATGTAAAGGCTTAGAGTATTTTTCTCAAAAATGATAATTTTAGAAATTTTAAATAAAAATGTTATAGTGAGGGAATTCTAAGATAAATTTTAACTGATGACAAGTTTAAACACTAAAATCTCAGGAGTTAAATATATCTTCAAGGTATACTACATCACTCCTGTGGATTGAGGGTTGACATGGACTAGGGACAAGAGTTGTGCCACTAATTAGTTTGTTATAAATTATAAGTAAGTTTTAATAATTACCCAGTGAAAATTGGAAATCTTTATTAGCTGATTTCTTCCTGGGATAAATTAAGACTTCAGAACAAACTTACCAACTTATTTCTCCCTGTGGATAGATGATTTTTATAGTTCTATTTAAATATCTTAGTCTTGACCTATAAAATGTTTTTTAAAAAGCTATATTTTTTGGCATAGAACAGGCTTTTTGTAACATTAAACTCCTTTAAACAAAAGCGTATTTGTAATTTTTTGTTAGAGAGGTTGATGTGGACTGTTCTTGCTTTTATCAGTAAGTGTCTCTTAGCTAGTTAACACATACACAGTGGGAAGCTTGGAATAAATTAGGAAGAAAGAGGAAAGATGGGCCTTTTAATGAAAGTCCTCCTAATGAATCAAGAAACCATAGCAGTGGCATCAACCTGTTGCATAATCACTTTTCCATGATTCTGCCTTGGTAGTGAGTTGTCTCTGATTGTGCTGGTCTGAGAGTAGGGAGTGTGGAAAGTCAGATGGCAGCCTTTCCTCTCTGATATAAAAAGGCACTTGCAACCATTTTATTATGAGTTAAATTATTATTTTATTTTGGTGGGACTAGGGTTTGAACTTAGGGCTTTCTGCTTGCAAAGCAGGTACCGCTTGAGCCACGCCTTCAGTACATTTTGCTTTGGTTATTTTGGAGATGGGGGTCTCATGAACTATTTGCCTGAGCTGGCTTCAAACTGAGATCCTCCCGATTTCAGCCTCCCAAGTAGCTAGGATTACAGGCATGCCCAGCTGCAGGAGCTAAGTTTTTTTTTAAGGAGAATTCTAGGTATTTATTAAAAAATCATGTACATGTGGTAACAGTTTTATCTGCAGTAAGAAGTTCTGACAACTAAATTCAGTTTAATCAGCTAAGGAGTTAAATTTTTAAAATAGTATCTGTAGGCCTTCCAGAACCCTAGAATAGTTTTGAATATTTGGCTAAGTGACTTAAATAGGTAAATAAATATGTGCATGTATGTACCTATAACCCAAAACATATCTATCCAATTGCTTTTTGTTATATGATGAGGTATTTATTCCAGCAGTGCTGCTATTATTAAAAACATACTCAGGGCTCTCTTTTGGGTTTATTTTCAGAGCCTGTAACATACTCATAAAGAACTCCAACAGTTATAAATCTCATGTCTTTGGACAATGAACTTGATTTTTAGAAAGAGCCTAAAGGAACTTAGAGCCAAATACAGAGGAATAAGATGGGTGCAAGAGCCAGGCACCCATTATAGGCTCATGCCTATAATCTTAGCTATTTGGGAGACTCAAGTCAGGAGGGTCACAAAGTTCTTCAGACTGAATCTCAATTAGTAGCTGGGTTTGTTGTCATGTGCCTGTCATCCCAATTATGACAGAGGCTGAGATTGGGAGGATCATGGTTCCAGGCCAGCCCAGGCAAAAAAAAAAAACAGTTTGTGAGACCCCCATCATAACCAAAAAAAAAGCTGGATGTGGTGGTGTATGCCTGTTATCCTAGCTAAGGCAGGAAGCTTAAAATAGGATTGCGATTCAGGCTGGTCTAGGCAAAAAGTGAGACCGTATCTCCAATATAACCAGAGGACAAAAGGGCTGGAGGCATGGCTCAAACAGTAGAGCACCTGCCTAGCAAGTGCAAAGTCCTGAGATAAAACCTCAGTACTGCCAACCCCCCCCAAAAAATGGGTGCAAGCTGATCAGTACCACTTTGGGTCCAATGTGAGATATAAATATAAAATCATGAGACATTTCTTTCTGTAATACATAAGCTGCCTCCAAATGAGGAATTTAATAGTAGTTTTAAACCAAGAGCAGTATTCTTGGGATTAGAGTAGTTTTCCACTATGAAACTTGGAAGAATGATGTTCCTTTGAATATTCAGTCTTTCGAATATAAAACAAAACAACCATGACATTTATTGTCTCAGTGTCATTGCACATTCCCCATAGAGCTATTGTAAAGATTAAATGAGATGTTAGTAAACTCTTAAGTCACCATGTTTGATGGTTCATAAGTCCTCAATAATTGTTAGCTAACAACTAAGACTGTTTTCTGAGAGTCCAGTGAAACTTCGTTATTAAATTGATTTCTTAATAGAATCAGTTTTATCATACTATTCCAAGCTTCTCATAACTGATAGAGGTATAAGGACTTTTATGAAGTCAGAGAGGTTCCTATGTTTGATAGCAGCTTTTAAAGTGTGATAGTATTTCAAGATAGTATAATCTTGCTTGATTTGCCATTGGCCATTTAGAAGTAGAAAATAATCTAATTGATTATTTTTTGCATTTTAAATATCTTTAATGCCTTGTCTTTTTGGAGGTAAAAATTCTTTCACTTAGAATTTGGAGCTTTTATTAATAAAGTGGCAAATATTTACTGATCTCTGACTTAAAAGAACTTAGAACCATGCTGTTTTCTCATACTCATTACTTACATGTTTTATAGTATATAACTTAGTGCCTAAGTATAAAATAAACATCTTTTAGTTTTATAACTGTCTTAATTTTAAATAAGTTCTTTCCATAGAAAAATAGTTTCAAATTTAGTTAAACATTTGCAAATTATTTTAGGGTTGCTTCTAGCCATTTCACAGAGAGACAAATGTCACATGATTTGGTTGCTGTTGGCAGGAAAATTGAGACCTTTCATCCAGTGTTTGAACATCTTGACTCAACTCAGAATGCTGAACACAAAACTATACGAGAATTTGCTCAGGAAATCATAACAATAATCCATCAAGTTAAAGGTTAGTATATTTTACACATATATTAAGGGCAACACAAAAATAATTTACTGACTGTTCTTTTTCTTTGTGGTTGGGAGGGGATGGTACTGGGATTTGAACTCCAGGCCTCACCATGTCCCTAGCCTTTTTCGTTTTAGTTATTTTTCAGATAGGGTCTTGCACTTTTTGCCCTGGGTTAGCCTTAGACTTCAGTCCTCCTACCTTTGCCTCTCACGTAGCTGGGATTACAGATGTGTACCACCACACCTGGCTTGTTCTTTGAGATGGGATCTCACTAACTTTTTGCTAGGGCTGGCCTCAAATCTCTATCCTCCTATCTCTGCTTCCTAAGTTGCTGGGATTACAGGCCTGAGCCACCATACTGAACCTATATACTGACTTTTCATGAGCTATAGGTAAATACCTGTGATATAGTTTAATAATAATTAATATTTCATTGTAGGTAAATAACGAATTAGGAAATCTGTTGGAGAGAGTATCAGGCATTCATTCAAGCCTAGTTCTTTATGTATATTTTCAATAACTTTGTGCTTCAGCTGCTATTCAATATCATAAGTTAGAAAGGGAGAGAGAGACTGCTGCATAACAGGCATAACTGAGAGAAGTGATAAACAATAACTGATAGCCTAACAGAGAAGAACAAAAACATATGAAACCCAACCAATCTTGAAGTCTAGGTCATTTTGTGATATTCTCTAAGCCTCCTGAGGGCATTACTGGGGACTTTGTAGTATACAGATGCTGCTAAGTGATTAACGAAAGATCCTAGTTTGTTTTGGCATACTTTATGACATCAAAGAGTTGCATAATAAATACTTTAAAGATTTGCATTCAATTGTTTTGGTTTTGCTTCTGGTAAGTTTGCTTTAATTGGAAAATTCAGTGGTGTAGAATAGCTTTCCCCAGTAATACTGCATAAATAAGGCAATTATGAGTATTAGAAACTGGAGGTCTTCAAGAATTTCAAATTTTTAATTTTATATTTCTTCCTACATAATTGTATTAATCTGTTTTATCTTCATAAACATATTTCAAAAATGAGGAATTTTCTCTACATCCCTCATGTAGTTCAGTGATGAAATACTTTCCCAGAATGTGTGAGGCTCTAGGTTTGATCTTCGGCACCGCAAAAATAAATAAAAAATAAAGTATGCAGTTTGTCTGAAACAATTCACCCTCTCAGCACCATCCCCTCTCACCCAAAAGAAGTATGATTATTTGCAGAACGTAAGCTACTGTTGCAGAAAACTCCAGGAGAGTATCCCAGAACAAGAATAATAAGTTTGGGAAAAAAAGAATTGCTTATGTAGCATTCTGGTAGATCAAATGTATTCTCCTTCTGTCTATCCTATTAAAAGCCTATAACATAGCTGATATCAAAATGTCTTCATGAAGGCTGGGCACCAGTGACGCCTGTAAATCCTAGCTACTCAGAAGGCAGAGATCAAGAGGATCTCAGTTCAAAGCCAGCCCAAGGCAAATAGTTCACAAGACCCTATTTCAGAAAAACCCAATAAAAACAGGGCTGGTGGAGTGGTTCAAGTGGTAGAGCACTTGCCTAACAAGCCTAGCAAGCATGATGCCCTGAGTTCAATACTAGTACCACAAAAAAAAAAATGTCTTCATGAAGGCAGAGATAGGAAGACAGCTTATCACATAGAATAACCTGGAACCAGGTGCAATGGCTCAAACCTGTAAACCCACCTACTCAGAAGGTCAAGATCTGGAGGATTATAGCTCAAGGCCAGCCTGGGCAAAAAGTTAACAAGACCCTTCCCCTCTCAATAAGCTAGGTGAGGTGGTACATGCCTGATCCCAGGTATGTGGGTGGCAGAGGTGGGTGGAGCATAGTCCAAAGTTGACCCAGGCAAAAAGTACAAGACCCTATCTGAAAAATAACTAAAGCAAAAGGGCAGGGCGGGGGGGCATGGCTTCTTGTCTTTCAAGAGGGATACTCTGAGTTCAAACCCCAGTACCGCAAAAAAAACAAAGAATCTTCATGAACTCCAGTTAATGCTAATTAACTAAAGTGGCATAGGCAGGTCTTCTGTGCTATGTAGACATAACTTTTTTTTTTAGACATAACTTTTAACTTTTGTTTAGAATCATTTTGCTGTTTCAGGGTTGTTTGTGGAGGTAGTATTCACTGTTGTTGAACTATAGAGCTCTGCCATCTTTGCTTCCCAGATAGAGTAAGGTCTTACCTTGGAGAAGAAAAGTTCTCACTTTGAGCGTGCCACTGTCTTTTCCCCTGTACAAGTAAGCAGACATGTTAGAAAGGAAGAAAATTCTTGGATTCATAACTCAAGTGTTTTCTAACTCTTGCTTGGGTTTGGAAAAGCAAAGGTTTGGATGAACACTACGAATTAGCCTGCAAAGTTAAATTTCGGTCCCACTTATTTTTCAAGAGAAAACAAATGGGATTTTTTTAACAGTCCCCTCTTCATGTGCTTGTATATAATCTTTTAAGTGGAATCAATTTTACACTGAGATAAAACTGTTTGTTTCCTTTTTCAGCAAATTATTTTCCATCGCCTGACATCACTCTACATGAGCGTTTCTCAAAAATGCAAAAGACACATAATACAGATGTAAATGAAACTAAATTGAATTCAGATCCAGAAATTCACAGGTAAAGATTGATTAGTGTGTTCCCACTTAGCTCATGGAACTAAGCATCAGAATAGATTTGGAAAGATGCTGCTTCCTGAGTTTGCTCACCTGGGCTTGCTGTAGAATCTAGGAGTATATTTTTTACATAAAGGACCTACCCAAACAGGCACTGGGCCAATGTACATCAATGAAATAGATGAAATAGGTCACACTGAAACCATTGACTAGCACTGCTGAAATGTGTAGGACTTTGAAAATATATTTACCTACCTAAATTTGCTCCTGCTGTGTCTATAGTAGTTGCCTCCTGAAGTTATCACTGGAAGAATGAAAGACAGTTGTCAAGCCATTGAAAATCATGGGTTGCTTCATGTGGTCACCAATGGCTGTTCTGAGGGCAGGAGGATGAAAACATGTCCTTCTGCTGGCACTTGTCTGAGCAGTTGGTGCACCCTGTCTTGTGAGCTGAGTTGAATCAATGTTAGAATGCAGTATATCACCAGAACAAATTTGAGGTTACACAGACTAGTGATTTGAGAACCACTAAAACTTTACTGTAATGTGGTTCACAGGATAATAAATATACTGAGAGACTGCCATATAGATGAAAAGCCACCTGGTAGCAGGTTTCTTTTGCTTTCTCCAAGACATACCCGCTGTATTTCAAATTCTATTCTGTAGTAGTAGAATCAGGAAATCAGTGCATAGTGTAATTATTTTAATTATAATATGCCCTTTATTATTTTAGGAGAATAGATATGTCTTTGGCTGATCTTCAAAGTAAACAGACTGTGGTATATGAATCAGATCAGGTAAGTGAATATAATTTTTGATGAGAGATTATCTTATTGTTGGTATACTAATGGGAAAAGGGGTTGGTTATTGAGAGTCAAAAGAAGTGTTAAAATACATAAAGAAGAATAGTTGAGACCCTGGAATTTGAAATTTAAAAAGTTCTCCAAGTTATTCTGATTATTGGCCAGATTGGAGTGAAAATACTGATCAAAGGCAAAAATATTCCTGAAGAGGGACAATTCCTAAGGATAACAGCTTTGTAAAACTGACACAAAATTTCTGCATTTAATATTCATTCCAAAACTCCACAGTGTGAAGCTTGTGCAACAGATGTTCCTACCTATTTTCCAAAGCAATTGTGTGGGAATGTATTTTAAATTGTATGTGGAATGAATGCAAAGGAGCTAAGTCTCATTTGATATAGCCCTTCTATTTACTATAGAATGTGTGAAAGATTCTGTGGAATATGTGCTAGCAAAGTAATAGAAATACTAAATTTCTTTTTTGGGGGGGGTTGGTACTG